AATCCGTTTACAGTGTCTGTTTCAGACTAATGGTCTAAGCAACTGTTTTGATACACCTCTATTCATCACTGCAATTATTGTAAGCAGAGGAGACCCCAATGGCAGTTTCATTTTTAAAGACCCTATAAAATACGTCATCCAAGGTAAAAAATAAAACAAAATTGCGCCTACTCTTGAAACAAAGTCGCCCGCAAGTTACTACATGTTAGTCTAAACAGCAACAATACGATTGAAGTAAACTGGTCATCAATATGAAAGAATCCAGCGATTTGGACAATGGAAGTGACTTAGGAAAGGAGGCTAAAATAAATCCGGTAAAATGCTGGGCATTAGAATTTCTAGATCACTGAAGTGCTCTGGATTAAAGGCGAGTAAGTGGTTGTGATCAAGGCCTACTTTCTTGAATAACAGATTTGAGCGCATTAGTGGCAGTTTCAAAAGTGATGCGTTGCATAGGCGAAGGGTGGAATTCCATGGTGCGTCGATTGAAGGCGCGATAAAGACCAGTTTTGGTAAGGTAATCAGCCACAAGTTTGAGATGACGCGGGTTCACATTGATGCCATAGTGGCCAAACACGCTAGAGATCTCGCGTAGAAGAGAGGCTCGAGCCGCCTCAATACCAAAGTGTTCCTGCATAGCTGGCACATGGTTGGTGTAGAGTTTAGTGAGGTCAAATACGTTGCCATAGCAGGAAAGCACCTAAACAGAAATCAACTACGATTTTATTTTTTAACAATGGTCAGAGCAGTAGCGCGGTCGCGAAACTAAATATGAAACGCAAACTTTTAGCTACTCAAATTTAAACCAGAAAACAACCTTCAAAATAGAAGAATATTGGCAAAGGTGTAATTCCACGGCAAGATGTTATCATTTTCATTATTACTTATTGATCCAGCGACTAGGGCGGATAGCCTATACATCAATCCAAAGATTACTATTCTTGGGGTCTTCATAATGACGCTTCCAAGCACACTAATCGTTTCGAGTAACAAAGGAAACGATCAAACTTAAAATTCCCATAGAATCATTGAACATATGTTTTGCATTTATGCTGCGACCACTAAAATGCATCATATAACAGTAATGTCAAAACTGAAGAATAACAGGCAACACAACGTGACGCACTACTGACAACATAGAATAAATAAAATTGCACAAAGGACAAAAAACCTCGAGACGAAAGAGTTGCTATAGCTGTAAGTGAAAGCAGGGGCTCGCATGTATCTTTTGATATACTCCTAATTGCTTTTTCTGGGAGAAAAAAAAATAAAATGAGAGAGGAATATCGCCATTTGTCTGTTCTTTACTTGAAAGAAAAAAACAGAGCGCAGAGCCATAGACTGAGCAATGAAGCCTCCCCCGTAACGGACACAATAACGAACAAAGTTTTAAGAAAACTGTTGACTGAACCGCTTTGAATAACAAAATGGACGGCGAAAAACAGATAGCGTTGCGAAATACTTCTTATTCGGGGAAATTATCGGAGCAAAAAGCCTGACGATAAAAGCTGATTACAAAATAGACCTCATCCCAAGTAGGCACTTGGTTCAAAATAAGACGAGTAAGGCTGCTAAAATTACAGTTTGCATAAGCAAATGTCGACTGAGGGATGGCACAAAAGTTAAAGCGAAGGAGAGGTAGAGCAATTCCAATTCCTAAAAAAACTACTCTGCAATTTGACTGTGACGTTGAATTTAGGCGCTTGAGAAAGAAATAGGGAATGGGGAAAAGGCGAAAAAGAACAACATGCACACGAAGTAATCATGAAATTTGAGGAGACGCTACTGGGGTCAAGAGTCAAGATCTCTCGGAAGGAGATATGTTCTGGGTGAACATTCCAACCCCAAAATACAACAAAAAAAACGTTCATGCAAATGGAATAGTTGGCGGCCTTAAGCGTAGAAGTGCTTGAACGGCTTTTGAATATCGGTAGCCGCTAATGGCTGGTACGCGGTATTCAAAGGCATACCTTAAGATTCACACCTTCAACACGCAGAACCCACTTCTTGGGGTCTGTTTTGTCGATGAAAGCCTTTTGAATACCTGGAACAAAAGAGACTATACTCTTTGAAATAATGCGTTGGACCAAGGTGCGCAAATCAATTGAGATGCGGCCGTCCTTAGGATCGAACATCTGAAAGAATAAGAAAACTTTGAAGCGCTCTGAAAATGGTTTTATTGTTGAAAGTCATTCGAACTCTCAAAAACTAAGACCTTGACTATTGAATGATAAACCACGGATAAGCCTCCAGATGTTGTAGTAATAACCAACACAGCAGATGATGTAACCGCATATGGTGACTGCCCTGACGCTCAAAATTCAAAGGATAATCCAAAGCTACTAAGCCTATAGAGGCAGATGGCATATACTGCAACGATATACTAGTATACCTAAGAAATAGCATGAAATGGTCAATCAACCAAGTCATGTATGTGAATGGAGAAAGTAAGAAGCAGTCGGGCTTACAGATATGGTCAACTTCACCCATGATCGCGTTGCACTAGTGTCGTAAATGTAGTTTGTAAATCGATGATGCAGACTCTTTACAAACTAAAAGAAAGGAATGCAAGTTAGTCACTAGGCAATTGAGGAAGAACAGACTCATAAAGTACTACTAAGTCACAAAATCAGCATGTCATATCAGTCAAAGTGCCTTAGAGTAAACGCATCATAAACGTATCATCATAATTCCTTGGTCTACCACTCACATTAATTCGCCTTGGGTCCATACCCTTTGCAGAGCTCTGTGTCACCTCAGTCTGACCTCTGTCGAGTAAAAGCTCATCGCCATGCTCCTCATCGCCTTCGTCGCCACGTTCCAATTCAACTACTTCGGCGCCACCTATCTCAGAGGCTGTTTTGGAGGCGAAAAAAGTGGATCCTTCAGGACGCAAATTGCCGACATCCTGCCACGTCTTCATCGCATCATCATCGCCAGTTCCCTCTTGGTCCTCTGATTCGGTAGCAGCTGCCTCCAAATCGATACCGATTTCACGAAGCTCTGCCACCTCATCGTCATCCTCATCGATTGCCTCGTAGTGTGTGTTCACACCACCCTCTGCAGTCTTGTCACCTTCAATCTCATCCTCGGCCTCAAGTCTACGCCTGCGCACCGCCTGTGAAGGAACTCAGAGTAATGCTGTACCTTTGTATTTATGATCAAAGCATGGTTTTGAATTAGCGACTGACGCATTAAAAGCAGCAACGAGTCATAAAACTATTGAGTACTTTAATCGCAAAACTCGGAACCTAA